AATATAGTCATTGGGTAAACGCATAAATATATTTCTAATTGCTATGATTATCACTAGTATTTTTCTGTATTTCTTTCATGTGGATTTTATTGGCATGTACAAGTGTAAATAAGCCGAGTTACACCCGACTTTAGTCGAAATTGGTTATTCCTACAAAGATTATTTTGAACTTGCCCGACCTTCTGATGGAAGCTAAATTACAGGTCTAGCTAGCTTAACCTATTTTTAAAAAATAAAATGCATGGCCTGTCTATCAATTAATCTCTTCAAAAAGGAATGATAAATCTATCACAGTAACTGAGTATTCAACCTAAAACATTATACGCCACTTTAAATAGCCAAAAACTATCATATAATACTAAAAAATCATCTTACGACATCATACGGTGGCCTGTAGTTGAGGCTTTTCAAAATGGGCTTGTTGCTAGTTGTTAAGTAGACTTTTATTTTTTGACTCAGTCCTACTTTATTTTTTATTTTTTTATTTTTTTGGTAAACGTAAACGGATCCCAGACCTACTTTATTTTACCACTAAGGGGCGTTTGGTTCGGAAATTTTTTTTGGAATAGTAGAGAAATGAGATAGATAGAGAAATGATTGGAAAGATAGATAAAGTGATATAGGTAGAAAAATGTAAAAAAAAGTTGTTTGGTGAGGAAAAACTTTACTGGGAAAATTAGGTAACTTTATGAAATCAACAGTGCATTAAAAGTCAGATAATCGATTTTCCGAAAAATTCCACCTTCAAATTGGGTTTCTAAACAGTGCGGATATCTATGTTTCTCATAAATTCAGACAAATTGGATAAATGAGTTTTTGGTGAAAAACATTGAAACAAACATGGTGTTTCTAAAAGCCATACTTGAGAAAGATAGATATCCGCTGAAAAGCTCACAACCAAACACCACCTAGGCTAAATCAAAGATTGGTGACACCTATTTACAGCCTCATTAGCAAGTTTTAAGCACTATTAAATGCATACATACATTTTTTACCAGTATAAACATCACTAATTTTTTTTTATAGAATCTTTTCATCCAAACTTTAATATTTCATTATTTTATTTCAAAGGTTTCGTAAATTTTAAAGGGTCTGAGATCAAGAAATTAATGACACATCAAATGGGGCATTAGAGGCACTAGATAGTAAGGGACCAACTGGATAAGTTCAAATACAAGACCTGACTCAATCTTATACCAGTATACTACCCATATACAAGATCATTTTAAGAAAAAAAAAGAAAAAAGTGCTTGTGCTCTTTGCAAGTATGCTCGCTTATTAGAGAAGCAGTGCCAAGAACAAAATAGCAACCCATATATAAAAAGTCTGCCTGATTCTGTTTGCAAAATCATTCTTTTTGCCCAATTCAGAGTATTATCAAGCAACTTAGAGTATGAACTATCTTCAATTAAAGAATTATTAGTTCAGCCCGTATATATGCTTGATTGTTGTCATTTTTAATCTTTGTAGCTCGATGCTGGCTTAATATTGTAACTTTGACAATATGACCATTATTTTCATTTGGCCCACAGGCCCAGTACCTACCTTTATTAGTATTAGAGGTTTTTTTTTTTTTTTTTTTTTTTTTTTGTCTCGGTTGAACTCAAGAGAGGTGAATTGAGTTTATTGAAATTTTGCAATTTAAAAATAAAAATACAACTACGATAAAATAAAGAGTAAAGGAAAGAAGTGACACATTTATTTTAATTTATTAAAAACTCCAACGGGAGAAAAAACCCAAAACCCCAATTTGGATACCTCTATCCAATTGGGAGATGTAAGAACCTGCACCGTTAAATTAGGAATTTAATTAATTAATTACGAGATTAATGAGATAATTTCATAATTGACCCTAATAATTATGAGAAGGCTTAAATAATTATGGTAAGTGATTATTAATGTTGAAAGTCGTTTTTCTGACAAAAAGTGCAGGTATCGATTCTGCTCCACAGTATAAATCTGTACCGATGAAGTATCCCGGAAAATTATGAAAAGTATGTATATGTCACTAGAATAATATATAGGACTAGCATAACAAGTTTCAAGTCAAAATGATTAGAACTGGTGTCAGAACTAATACCGGCTACGTAAAAGCGTGTACCAGCAAAGTGCTGCGAAAAATAAAATAAAAATATGACAAATCCTATAAAAATGGCTAGGTTCAGAATCTCAAGTTTGAGATTAAAATGATAAGTGTAGCTATTAATGCTAATACTGTGCGATTACCCTTAAGTGGGCTATAAATACTCTTTTGGCCCGAAACCCTAGGCCATATTTGCTTCATACGTGACTTGTGTTTCAGAATTCTGAGTCCCACTTTTGCCACCCTCTTCCCCTTTCAAAAACTTGAGCTTTCCTGCATAGAAACTCCCCAAGGTCTCACCTTTTCTTTGATTCTTCCTCATTGAAGTTGTAAACACTGACTTAATGAGCATTGTGAGGGAGTGTGGTGTAGTCTTTCTGAGTGTTAGCTGCTGCCTTAGGGTGGTTTGAGGGTTGAGTTGTTGAGTCTTGTGGAGAGAGCCATTTTCTTGTCTTTGGAGGATTTAAGGAGTCATCTTTAAGTGTAAAGGTCCAAGCTTGTGGTGTAAATTTGTGGTTCTTCAAAGTCAGAACCTTTGAGCATTATTGGAAGCTCCAAGGCTGAGTCTTTTTCTGAGTTTGAGACACTTGAGGTATACCATGATCACCTCTTTTGTATTTTCATGAGTTAAGCTTGTTTAATCCATTAAAAAGGGAAACTTTGATCATTTGAGTTAAAGACTGATAATCTAAGTCTAATATATGTTAATGAACATCTGTTTAGGGAGTTATTGGACTCCCAATCGCATTTGGACCCTTAAAAATGGAATTATGCAGATGACAACTCGAGTTTCTACATTTTGTCTTATGAGTATTCGAATACTTTTCGTGTAGTATTAGAATACTTATCAAGGGGTAATCGAATACTCCTTGAAGGAGTATTTGGATACTTTTCTGGGAGGAAAAGTATTCGGATACCTTTGAATGAGTATTCGGATACTGGGAAGTATTCGGATACTGGGGGAAATGTATTCGGATACTGTGTAGTATTCGGATACCGTGGGAAAAGTATTCGGATACCATGTGGTATTCGAATACCTTAGTGAAAGTATTCGAATACTTTCTGGAGTCTTGGAGTATTCGGATACTCATCGAGGAGTATTCGAATACCTCCTGCATAATTTGCATGAAATCACTTAAAATGAGTGGGAAAGCCTTAATCACTTAATGGAACCTTGGGCAATGAATATTAATGATTATTTATTGTATAAACAGATTGTGATTGTGTTGTTTGTGGGCTTTGAAATTGTGTGGACTTGGCTTGGATTGATTGCTTAAGAGGTAAGCTTTTGTGTCCTCGGTTTAGCCATTGTTGGTTCTACCATACCCCATGGGGGGATTGTTTATATGCATGATGTGTTTTCATGTATGATTTTGAAATGCTGTTGAGCTGTTTTGTGCAAGTGCTTTATGATATGCATATGTTGTTCCACCTAGACGGTAAGCCTGTGTATGTAGGAGACATACCATAGGGTGATTCTGTGGGTGGGTGCAAGTGATGTCTTGCACTGATGTAGGTAATAGACGTTTGTAAATCCTGCATTTCTCTAGCCAGTAGAATAGTTGACACACATGACATGATTATTCTGCTGCATTGCACTGATTTTGGAACTTATACTGTTTTACTACTTTAGAACTTATATTGCACATGTAAGTGAGCTTGGGGTGGAGAAATCCTTGAGGACCCTTTGTCTTACTGAGATTTCTGTTTAGAGATATCACCCCACGTTTGGGGCACATTTTCAGGTTCATGTGACTCGGGGGTTGATACCTCGGGTGGCAGGAGGCCGGAGCTGAGTTGAGATTTATGCTTTTATGATGATGTGCTGGATTGTGACATGCTTTACATTTATTTTCGTGTTGTTTGATGTGAGACTCTGTTGGGCTCTGTTGCCTTATTTGGTGTGCATGGGGGTTGTCCATGCCACATTGACTTTACTTTGTTGTTTTAGATTCGAGTTGTATAATGTATCACGATTATGGTCCATACTACGTATTGTAGTTTCGTGATTTAGATACTCACTTATTTTATAGTATAAGGTTATTCAGTGTAGATAGCTGTTTATTTGCAATTACATACATGCAATATTTTGAAAATGATTAATTAATCAACTTGGTTAATAATGATGACGTCATAAATGAAATATAAAAAGTTATTCCTCAATTTTAATTAAGCGCAGCTTAATACGATGATATGATAACAAACCGGGTATACACGGGGTGTTACATTTTATGGTATCAGAGCACTTTCTAGAGAAAAGCCTCTATGTATTGCAATAACATAGGATGTTTGTTGTGTTTTGTCTGTTGTGTTCTTTCAGGTTTTACTATGATGATGCATGTGTGACCACATTGCGTGGGCCTGATCAACTCATTCTTTGTGTAACTAGTGCAGAGTCATGGTCTTACCTCTGAGGGACCAAGAGACACGAGAGGGTCAACCTGACCCGGTCCTGGCTGCATTGGCTGAGATGCAGGCAGCACGACAAGCTGACCAGGAAGCCATTAGAGTGGCTAACCAGGCTATGTTGGACGCCGTCAGAGAGGCAAACAGGAAGGCCACCGAGGACGTGCTGGAGGCAAACCGCCTGGCGAACATGACCATGATGAGGGTCATGTTGCAAGAGATGAGGACTAGTCCTGTTGGTGGCCAGCATCTTCCGCCACCACCTCCACCGCCGCCTCCACCCAGTCATCAGGACGATAGTCAGAGTTACACAAAGAATTCTTTCCGCAAGCATAAGCCACCTTCTTTTGATTGATCTTACGATCTTATTGCTGCTGCTAGATGGCTCCAGTCTTTGGACAAGATCTTCAGAGTTATGCAGTGCACTGATCCGCAGAAGCTGATGTTTGCCACCTACATGCTGGAGGGCGACGCTCATGAGTGGTGGACGAACACCTCTCACGTCTATGAGATGCAAGGTCATGTGATTACATGGCCATTCTTTGAGGAGCTATTTCTTGGGAGATACTTCCCATATGATGCGCAGGAGCGGAAACAGGGAGAGTTTGACCGTCTGGTGCAAGGCTCGTTGACTGTGGATGAGTACTTGGCTAAGTTTAATGAACTAGTCAAGTTTGCACATTTTTCGTATTGCTATGTCGACCCCGACGTTTTTGGCATCTAAGTTTTGTAGGGGACTTAATGAGGAGATTGCAAACAGGATTGCTGGAGCTGCATCTAGAGATTTTGCCACTTTGGTTCAGCAGTGTCGTGACATCGAGGATGTCTGTATTGTGAGCAAGGCCAAGAAGGCCAAGTTAGCTGATGTTAAGGGAACTGGTAGTTCCACTTCCTGGAAGGACAGGAAGTTTGGTAGAAAAGGAAAAGGGAAGCAGTTGTCTACGAGGCAGGTACCGAGTCAGTTTAAGACGACCTCTTCACAGCAGGGAGGTTTTGCTAGACCTTCTTCCATCCCTAGATGTACGGGATGCGAAAAAGAGGATTTGGGACGTTGTGCTACTAGAGAGCTGCTATGCTTCAAGTGTGGAAAGAGTGGTCGTATGACCAAGGATTGTCATACTTCAGTTGCTAGGGCTGCAGCAGTTCAGGCGGCCCCTCTTCAGATGATTCTTGCTCAACCTACAGAGGCACCTGTGGTGCCACCTGCCACTGGCCGAGTTTACACATTGGATAAGCAGCAGTTGGACAGAGCTCCGCACCTTGCGAGAGGTATATTTCACGTTGGGGATACTTCAGTGATGTGTTGTTTGACTTAGGGACGACGCATTTATTTTTATTGCCAGTTCGATTGTTGTGGGGCTACACTTGCCTATATCTGAGCTTTCTCCATCTTCGAGGGTTACTACCACTACGGGGGAGAAATGCGATGCTTCATCTATCTATTTGGATGTGGTATTTTAGTTGGATGGAAACGACCCAAAAGGGGAATGACTCGTGAGAATGACCCTAGGGAACGACTTATATGTATAGGGAACGTCCCGTGTATGGGGGAACGTCACACGTTCCCAGCTCATACATGATTTAGTAAAATAGATATAACTTGAGCTTTAAGGCTCCAAATCGAGTGAGGTTTGGACCTATATAAAGCTAACATATAGGTCTATAACTTGGTAAAGGTTTAGGACCATTGAGTATATAGATTATTTCCAGTTTAATTTATAAGTTGCTGCCCTATTTTGTTTAGAGTATGTTTACAATTTTGAGGGATCAACTTATGGTGAGCGTCTCCGGAGTTATAGAACTCCAAATGAGGTGTGTGATACCTTGTTGGAAAAGTAATTGAATCTATTTTAACATACTAAAAGATGGAAAACTAATAATGTGTGGATCATGCCCAATAGTGAAAGGACAGAAGCATGTTCAGTGTTAGGAAAAGTGGAAAAACAAGTTTTATGCTAAGTTGGTTTATGAGAACCTTTTAGCAACTTAAAATATATATTGTATGATAGTTAAGCATGTGTAATGTTAATTTCGCGTATAGTTGTCAGTTATGATCACAGTTTATATCATTACATTTTATATTATTTTCAAATGCTTACGTAATGAAAAAGAAAAAGTTTACTCGTATTTTTTAATAAACTGTTGTGATTTTAACTGCGCTTAATATCATAAATCAATGTTAACAACACCGGTACGTAACAGGCTGTTACAGTAATTTATCTTGAAAAACAAAAGACAATTATAAATTTGGCGTTATTTGAAATATAAGATTTGAGATATATTTCCAAAAAAAAAAAAGATTTGAGATTTTTTTTAAATGATTTTATTGTAATTAATTATCTTTATTCGTAGGAGTTTTATGATTTAGGGTTTAGGGAATTAACACACCCTCCTTGTTGGCACGACCTTCTCCCTGTCCTTGTAGTTCAATGATGAAAGTGTGATTTTTTTTAACTTTTTTTTAACTTTTTCTGGGTTTAAGAAATGGTATAATAAGAGTGTGTGTTTCGAGGCTAAGGGAAGGGGAATGAATGTCGTGGGCTTTAGGGTAAGATTCAAACTTTGGGTGCTGGATTTGGTTCAGAAAGACTGTAGGTTAAAGAATGGTTTGATCAGAAGGGAAAGAGAAGGAGGGTAAGGTAACTGATGCCAAATGACAAAGGATTAGGTTTTTCTTCAGTTTGCTTTTTTTTTTTACATTTTTGTCTTTGGCCCAGAGCTGGTGTTGTTCTTGAGCCTTCAATTTTCTTGGACAAGGAGTGTTGCTATAAGACTTACATTTTCGGACCTTGAGTGTTGGGTCTTTAATTTTCTGAAATAAAACATGCAGTGCATTATTTTTGTTCACAAAATGTTTGGATAATTGAAATTGGGCCGAAAACAAATTAATCAGCAAAAAATAACTTGGCCCAATTTAGAGCTAGACTCTCTTTTCAAATACTCAACACCCCCTCACAAAAATGTTTGATTCTGCCACAACTAATTATCACAGGTACAACCACTGTTACAAACCACACGAAAACAAGGCACAACAAAGAGTTCTGTAGAACCAATAAAAAAATAAGAGCAAATACTATTTTCGATTCTCAGTAAATTTTACGATGCCTGCTTTAGTCTCTAGTAAATAAAAACGTTATTTGTGGTCTCTAAGAAATTCAAAGTGGACCTATTTTAATTCTTTTGAGGGACTAATGTGGATTTTTTTTGAATTTGTGAGGGACCACGATTTCAATTAGATGGGTCCATTTTGAATTTGTTATGAACGCCTTTTTATTTGCTAGGGACTAAAGTGAGTATCGTGAAATTTGCTGAGGATCAAAAAATATTTACTCAAAAAAATAAAAATGGCATTTCAGGTTGCCTTGGGGCTTGACCCTTCGATGTACCAAAAAATATAAAATATAAAATAAAAAAGGCTCTCACATTGTTTAAAACAACGACTCAATTTTATTTTTAAATCTTTACATTCACCAAAGAATTTTGCAATAGGAGTTCTATATACTTTTGAAACTCCCCAATAACCATAAAACAAAACACAATCTAGGAAATAAAATTAAGGGAAATATTTTTCTCATTATACATAAGAAATTATATGTCATGTTACACTCACATCGAAACCTCAAGTCAACATTTTTTTTCTTTTTTCTTTTCTTTTTATTGTGGGACCCACTTAATTATGTCTCTACATAAGACAATACTATCTCATGTAACATGAGAAAAACATTGCCCTAAAATTAAAAACGAAATATTTATGAAAAATAACCTATCGCTGTCTAGCTTTCGTTATTGGGTCGCGAAACTAATTATATTTCTTTTCTCAAAACGACTAAGGCAATGTTAAAGGTAGCAATCTACCATCTTATGCTCTTTGAATAATTATCTTTTTAATCCAATGGTGTTAAGGTATCTTCGCAGTGATAAGGTGGAGTGAGTTTAGAACCACAAATTCTCTGTGGCATTTGAGAACCACTAAACCTGTTCATAGTTCTTTCCACAGGAGGAAAGAAAACATTCCGTTTTAAACTTATCAACATTAACAAGAAAGATGGCTGAAACAAGGTTGAGCATGAAAGACAAAAGATGGTCACTTCATGGGATGACAGCTCTAGTGACAGGAGGAACCCGAGGCATAGGGTTTGTTCTTTAATCTCAATCTTTTCTCTTATTTGTACATATCTTTGCTTTTACTTTCTTCTATTAACTACTCATTTTATTTTATTTTTAGGTATGCAATCGTAGAAGAGTTAGCAGAATTTGGGGCAGCTGTGCATATATGTGCACGTAATCAAGAAGATATTAATAAATGTTTGGAAGAATGGAAAAACAAAGGATTTAGCGTGACAGGGTCAGCATGTGATATACTATCTCGTGACCAACGTGAAAATTTAATGGAAGATGTTGCTTCAATCTTTCACGGAAAGCTCAACATTCTAGTAAGTTCTTCCCTTTTTCATTATATTTTAAAAAACTTAATTTTACAAATTCAATTTTGTAATCAAATAATTTATACTGTTTGGATAGTATATATTAACTTATGTTTATGTTGCACCCATACCGACACCAAACACGAAACACGACACAATACTCTGATATGTTAATTCTAAAAGATATTAGATTTCGACACGTTAGAACACGTTTAGATATTAAATGATATTTTTAATTTATATAGAGTATATTATATTTAATATTCAATAACCTAACAAAAAAATGAAGCTAAACTTATAATACCCATTAATTTTGCAAAGAAATATAAGATATCACAAATATTTATTTTAAACTCAATAAAATAGTAATAATGATCCAATAAATCTAATATAGTTGGAACTGAAAACACATTACAATACAACCTTTGATTCTTTTTTTAATTTCTGCAATGCATGTTGGAGTGTCGGGAAGTGTGAAAAATGACACATCAAATTTTTTGAAGTGTCTCTGCATTATAGATATTAACCTAAAAAAAATAGGTGTTATTTTGTGTCTTCATAAAGTGTCTTCTTTCTTTTATGTAAAATGATGTAAATGGTTTTCTGTTAGGTAAACAATGCTGCAACAAGTATAAATAAGAGCATCACAGATTATACTGCTGAAGATATAACAACAATAATGGGTACCAATTTTGAGTCCGGTTACCACTTGTGTCAACTTGCACACCCACTTCTAAAAGCATCTGGATACGGGAGCATTGTATTCATATCCTCTATTGCAGGTTTAACAGCTTTGCCTATTTGTTCTGTCTATGCAGCCTCTAAAGGTATGTTTTTTTTCTTCATACCCCTTAACTTGAATTCTAACGTGATAAGATTGAGTTAAAAAAAAGATAATTAATACAATCTGCATATGTAATTTTATTCCAGGAGCTATCAATCAAATCACCAAGAACTTAGCATTAGAATGGGCAAAGGATAATATTCGTGCAAATGCTGTAGCACCTGGACCTGTATTGACCTTAATGTTGGAGTCCATTATGGTATGCAATTTTTCATTTTGTTTATCCATGGCGTGGCATATGTCAAAGATTGATTTGCAACACTCATTTTTCTTAGCTCCCTTAGTGACGCAACGAAAACATTTAACTTTCCTGTAGTTAATAGTTAATAGCGGTGGACTCAAATTTTTGGGGAGTAAAAAAAAAAAAGGCATATTTCGGTCCACAAGGCTTCCCGATTTATAAGGATAGAGATGAGGGTCACTTGTACGCAATTTTATGTCCATTTTTCATACTCAAACTCATTATCCTCCGATAATAAGAAGCAATATTACCGCTCCTCTAAGGCTTCGAAGAGAACAAAATCATATATATTTTAAATTCCTAATTGAAATAAAAATCATAATGAAAGAAGTGTGTAGGGCAGCAGTTAGAGTGTGAGAGTACATATGAGTGTTTCTCTTTTTATATTATTTTTTATAAGTTCAAATCAATTAAATTAATATAAGTGAGCTTATATATTAAAGTGAAATTTTGATTTGAAATTTAGTGGAAGTGGTCCCAAGTGGTTACAATTCTCATCTTTTTTCTTGCATATAGTGTTATTATATCATGTTGTTAAGTCAACAATGTTGTTTTTAAGTCACAAATGTATTTCTTACAGAAAACTTGTGAAGGGGAAAAGGCCGTGGATGCTTTAGTGTCTCAAACACCTGTTGGTCGCATAGGAGAGCCTAAAGACATATCAGCATTAGTTGCTTTTCTTTGCCTTCCGGCTTCTTCATACATCACTGGACAGATTATAGCAACGGATGGGGGTTTAACAATTTGAAATTTTTTGGCTTAAAAGACCAAAAATACAAAAACAGTTTCTCGATCAACTTGATCTGCTAGAAGCACCAAAACTAAATATTGTTGGAAGCTGCTAAAACAAATATGTGGTTTCTGCACAAGCTAATTTGCTTTGAAGAATTTGGTCGCTGGGTACTGTTGTGACTTGGCAAGTGCACCAGTCGTTAAGTAATAAAGTGTACCAGAATACGAGATCGTTTCCACGATGATTGGTTTCAAGCGCTAGTTCACTAATCGCATTTTAGTTGGACAACCAAAATTTAGATGAAGAGAATTAAAATTAAAAACAACCAATAACATATAGGTAGTTTCAAAATTAAAATCAATTAAAAGGATGAGTTGTTTAATTATCAAGAACGAGCGTAGTTAGGGTTTCGACTTCCCCCAATTTTCTCTTTATGCTATGAATTAAATAGTCAAGAATCTGCTCTTAATATAATGTCAATCAATTCTTTCTAAATTAATTAAGGCTCAATTCCTTGTTACCCTAATTCTATGTGATCTTGAAAGAATTCTAGGTCCCTGGTTGTTCGTCAAGAAAGTATGCATTAAAATCATGAATTCAAATATTGCATAATTGCCCTATGTCTATTCCTAGATTACAAGGATTATGATGAATTTATCATATCAGAGTTCATACACCAACATCCTTATTGTCATACAATTCCCCTAAATCAATCTACAAGGAGAAAACTCATAGAAGGCATTAAACATGGATAAATTCATTCAAATATAAAAAGAGAAGAATTCAGAGACAATTTAATTCATAACATAAAGATTCAATTGGATTTCATCTTCCCCTAACTACATAAAAACTTAGCCTAGCATATTCAAATCAAAATCAATTGGAAAGAAAATAATTCCACAAGACACCATTGATGTGATATTGTCTTGAATCTCCAATGCTCTACAATAGGATTCCCACTCTTCGATTCTTCCCAAAGCTCCATTTTCTTTGTCACCAGGCCCTTTATTTATAGAGAAGAAACATATCTTTTAATTTCCATTCAATTCTTTTATAAAATCTTCATTCAAATCATAAATTGGATCCTGATAATAATTGGGCCTGAGCTTTGACGTATCAGCACGCTTTAGCGCTAATCAAAGCGCTTTAATGCTCTGAATAGGATAATTCCATATGCCAGAGAGCGCTTTAGCGCGCTCTTCGATAGCAAATTTTTTGTTCCTAGTGTCTTTTGGCGTTCTGTAGCATATTAAAGTGTGCTCCTCTAGTGGATTTTGACTGTTTTTCTTCTTTAGCGCGCTTTATCACGCTCCATTGGTCTCTAAATTGCTTGTAACTTGCTTTTTTTGGACTTCCTTTGGTATTGAAACATCTCATTTCATTTCTTTGCTCCAATAAGCATTCTTTATGTCAAAATACCTTTGAAATAAGCAAGATTACAAGACGTTAGCTAGAAATCCAATCTTTACGATTTTATAATGTAAAACCCTAATTTTCATGCAATTTAAGTAATTCTTGTATAAATTAGCCTAAAAACATGGTAAACCAAGGGTTTATTAGACACTAATATTAGAATAATATATGATCAGATGTTATGAAAATATAGTCACTTTTTTATACTGTCAAGAGGTAACATTCGAATATTTGAGGTAGGTGTTTGAATACAACCTAACAGTATTTACTTGTTTGATTATGACTCATCGATCATGTTTGCCAAGTGGAAACCAACTATCCCAATGTCTTTGTTGTAAGGCTTGTTTATAGATGAACTAGATGCCTACAAATTTGACACTTGCCAAACAAGTATTTAACTTGTGTTCAATAGAAAGAAACTGCTAAAAACTAACTTGGACAAAAGACTCCCAACTGTTGAGAATCACCATTTTGTGTCTGCTACATGAGTTTGGAGAGGAGAACTTTAGTCATTGTTCATAAATTGCAACAAACTATAGTTTGGAGTCTATTACATCCAACCATTCATTCGTAGTCAAAAACATAATTTAGACCTAAAACTCAATACCTTAATATTTTGGATTTAGATGTGGCATCAAGTCCATTTGTTGTCGTGAATTATTGTTTAGCCCATTGATCATGGTGTCCTTACCGGTAGTTCTCCCTAGTCGTGAGTATCGCATGATCAAAATTTTAAATCACGACCAGTGCACAAATTAACATCAAATAATTTGGCAAGCCTAGCTAATACAATTATACATTTAGCATTAATAACTCAAAATATAATATAAGTTAGGTTTATTGTAACACCCCGTGTGCACCCGACGTACTAAACATACATATGGTAATGGCGCAGCTAAATAAATGCAGAAGCTAACTTTTTCTTTTCAATTATGATGTCATTATTATTAACCAAGTTGATTACTTATTTCTTTTTCAAAACATTTCCTGTATGTAAATTGCAATAAAGCACTAACTGAATAATCTCATGAAATAAATGTGTATCTAGTCACGGAACTACAACACGTAGACCGAACAATATCCTGATACATTATACAACTCAAAACTAAATGAACATAACATAGTCAATGTGGCATGTATACCACCTCGTATTTCATAAACGTATTATTATACATGAAAATGTGGTTTAAAGGGGTAGGATTAGTGAAAATCCTGAAATTAGGGTCAAATTGCATAAGAAGGATAAAATGGTACTTTACCAAACACTAACCCAAGACAACAAAAATTGAGTAGAAGACCTCAAATGGTAAAAATAATGCCGGAAATGGATTCAGAATGAAAAATCGAGTGGATAGGTAAGTTTTAGAAAATTTGATGAATAGTGATTTTTCGGTGTAAAATACTGCGGTATAATTATACCGATAAGCGCGAAAATATGATCAGTATTTTTTAGAAGTAAAAATATGACGTGAACGAGAAAAATACGTAGGTTATGAATTTATGGGTTAAATTAGGTGATTTAAGAAAGTTAAATGACGTGTGGGACCCACTTAAGTGACTTAAGTGGGGAATAGGCCCAAAGTGCCACAAATTCTGACTTTTCTCTCTCTTTCCTTCTCCTTCACCGTCGAGCTCTCATCCATGGAAAGAGGTTTGGTTCTTTGAAATTTTATCTTCATTTCTAGACACTTTTTGGGAAAACCTCCAACTACAAAATTGTTCCCCTTGAGATGGTGAGTGACTTTCATATAGAGTGTATCCTGTGGGGAGCTTTGTGGAGAGAGATAATGCCCTTTTTCAGCCACGAATTTGGTGGCATTTTGGTGAAATTTTGGGGATTCTTGTGTTGATTCATGGGTTGGAGACCATTCCCTTGGACCCTAGGGAGCTATTGGTGGTAAGTTTTCCTACTCTCGTGGAGTTTTTATTGAGATCATAATTTGGTGAGGGTTTTGGTTATGTGATGATGAGTTATGGTAGTTTGGGGCTTTTAATGATGTTGCTCCTTTGGAATTAAATGCTTGGAATGATAAATGATGATGATTGATGTAATAAAAATTATTGTGATTTAGAAAATTATAACTTGGTGAAATTTGAGTTGAATTTCAATACTTTATGAATTGGTATGATGGTAGGATTGAATAATTGTGTTGTGGAGCATTGGTATGGGTTAATAATAAGATTGTATGACATGTGTAAGTGTTGAATTGGATTAAAAACCTTGGAAGATGTTTCCTTGAAGAATTCGACCTATTAAGGTCATGTATGGTTGATTATGTAAAAATTGTGTAGTTGAGGTTGTATGTCGGGAAATGGTACTTAAATGGATGGTAGTGTATTGTGATATAGTGGAATTGGAAGGAAGAATGATTGGATGCTTTGTGTATGTAGTGATTAACCTATAGGAATGATTAAGGAAAAATAAATGTAAAATAGTCCTTTAGCCTAAATGAATAGGTTTGGGAATTAGTATTTTGAAGTGAATTGATTGCATTGAAATTGTATTGATGATCATGGTTGTTTGATCATATAGGTTGCCACTCACGAAACCAATAGAAGAGGAATAAGCTTGGAACTTACGTGGAAGAGTATTACTCTTGGAGTTGAGGTAAACCTTTGGAACTTGAGTTTTAATCCCTTGTGTGCTCCACCACATCTAGTGGAAGGTTGTGGTTGAATTTTATGCTTTTTGACATTGTGTCAATATGTATGTTCATGCATTATTGCTTGATTGTATAACATGCTTGGAGCATGTTGTGTGTAAAATTTTGTGCTCTCTGGCCAGTAGATGTGTGTGGTTTAGACTTCCACTGGAGATATCCTTTGAGGATTCCGGTCGAGTTTTTTCGTGGGGCCGACTCTGGGAGCGGTACCAGGATGATCCAAACGTGGGACTTCCGATGGATAGGGCTCATGAGGAGTTCCAGTTGGGTTTTGCCATGGGGTCGTCTCATCCATGAGAGAGGCACCAAGAAGCTTCCCGGGAGTTATATGATGAGGTCCTTGAACGGAATCCTTATGTGGATGTTCATGGATTTATGCCCAGTTGTTTGGTGATTTTGTATGTTATGCATTTTTACATGATGTTAATAGTTGCACATTGTAAGAACCCGCACCGTTAATTAAGGAATTTAATTAATTAATTATGAGAAAATAGGAAATGATTCCATAATTGACCTTAATAATTATTATGAGGTTCTAATAATTATGGTAAGTGATTAAAAATGCTGAAAGTCACTTTTCGGAAGAAAAGTGCAGATACCGGTTCTGCTAGTCGGTATAAATGCGTACCGAAAAAGTATCCCGAAAAATTATAATATGTGCATAATAATTACTAGAATAATATATAGGACTTGTAAAACGAGTTTCAAGTCCAAATAATGAGAACTGGTGCCAGAATCTGATACTGGCTATGAAAAGCGCGTACCGGAAAGGTGCTCAGAAAAATATAAGAAAAATATGATAAATCTTGTAAAATTGAGTAGGTTAAGAATCCTGAGTTTGAGATTAAAATGCTAAGCGTAGCAATTAAAGTTAATACTGTGTGATTAAAACGTAAGTGGCTATAAATAGCCTTGGCACATGATCCTAGGTCATTTTGATGAGCCTCCGGCGTGAGTTTTTCTGAGTTTTGAGACCAGCCACCTTGTCACTCCATTTCTTCTCCATTTTTTCACCAAAGACACCTCCTTTGATCATGGTTTCTTCTCTTGATCAACATATTTTGGTGTGAGCCACCTTGTGAGGGTGAGAGGACCTTGTTTCTGAGTTCTTGCTCCTGTATTTTGAGGTTTGTAGTGCTGAGTTTCTGGTTTGGTGTTGTGGTGTCACATTCTTGGTGTTTGATGCTCCAAGAAGGTACCTTGTGAAGAAAAGAACCAACCTTTGTATGCCATTTTCGTTTCTCTGTGAAGTCAGAGCCTTGGAGACTGTTTGTGAGCTCCAAGAGCAGCCTTTGTTTCTGTTTTGAAGCCTTAGGGTATGTCCCTTCACTTTAACTTGAGTTTTATG